TGAAACCTGTCTTTCTGCTGAGAGTGCAATAAGAAAGCGGCCTGGCAAACCAGCAGCTCTCCACAGGTCTCCCTTTTTTATATTTTAACAATTGACCATAACTTGAGATCTATGGAGCAGAAGATTGTGCCTGTCTTAGGTTGTCTCTCTTGAAAGATATGTTCCTACCCGTCATTGATACACGAATTCCTTCATTCATGCCCTGTGTTAGGTTGAATTTTCCTCAGAGAGATCTTACTCGTCTTTGACTACCATCCTCTGCTAGGGTAGACACTGGAGTTTAACCTTATGCAGATCAGTTTAATTATCACTAGGAGGAGACATGCTCCTAATAAGAGTAATAAGCCAAGTCCTACAACACTCCATAAAAGCGACTTAGAAGATGACCCATATTCACAGGAAACATAATAAAAGGCTGTTGAACAACCAAAACCTGTTGTCCGTTTGAAAGCTTGGAAACACAGTTTGTTAGTTTACATTGATGGCAAGAAACATTAAATTTTTAATCTTGTTAACATTTCCAAACAACAAAGCAAAAGGAGAATTTACATAGGCAGTTACAGGGCCTCCCAAGAGTTTCTGTGGCAAGCTTCCAAAATTAGGTCTGCTGAAAACGAGAATCAGACCAAAGCCCCATAGTCAGTCCTCTTTTCATTCTTCCTGATTCTGTTGAGAATTGTCCTCATTAACAGATAAATCAATGTCAGTCACATTGTATAAGAGGTTTCTCTGCATGACATCTTCTCCCAGGAGCAGAATGAAACACAGGTGGGTCAGGAGGATAAGCCCCGGTGCAGCTTTCCCTTCACCATCAGGACAGAATTCACCATGGTCAGCAGCAGGAACATCTTCCTTCCGGGGGAACAACTCCTGCAAATCACACCAGCCTTTCTGGGACCCACCTGGCTCCTTCTTCGTCCTGCAGGAAAACCCAAACATGCCCTCTTCCCCATATTAATACAGGGTCGGGGCCCTGCCATATTCCAGTAATCAGATCTTTCCATTTTACTTGGGCATAGTTATCTTTGGAATTAGGGTGCCACAATCGATCAGCCACAGAACAGCCTTGTATATCCACATTCAAAAAATTTAAAATAAAGAGAGCATGTTTAAGATTTGGGGATATGACTCCCCCCCTTTTTTTTTATTTTTTGCAATTGGTTCTTAAGAGATCCATGGGCATGCTCGACAATTTCTCGGCCTTGAGGATTCTATGCAATACCCATTTTATGACTTATATTCATTTGAGCACAAAAACCCTGAAAAGCTTGACTCATATATATCAGTCTTTATAATGGAAGGAATACCAATTGCAGCAAAACACTTTAAGCCATGACTTATAACGTGTTTGGTGGCTTCTCCTGCTAAGGCAGTTGCCATGATAAATCCTGAAAAAGTATCAGTTGTTACATGAACATATTTTAGTTTTCCAAATTCTGGGACATGAGTAACATCCATTTGTTGTTTGGAATGGTTTTTAACCCTGGGTTTTAAGTAAGTAAGTTAACTTTATGGTACAGTTTTTAAACATACCCAATGACCAATAATCTATAACCAAGACATATAGAACATGGTAAACTTATACGTTCAAAACAGACAGACAAAACACCTTGCTAGTGGTTGAATCCGATTTTTTATGACCACAGAAGCTTTGTAGGAGAATTAACCATTTGCTTTCTTACTGGAAAAACTGAGAAGCTGCTTTTCCCCCCCCCCTCGAGTGATTTTAGCCTTAGCTTGACACCGCTCAGCAAATTCTAACTTCCATAACAAATGGTCTTCTCCTGCTAAGCATCCTCTTGCAAATTGCTTCCAGTCCCCTGGGCAGAGAGCCTCAGTAGACAAGGACTCTAACACAACTTGAGTAAAAAGTGCTGTAGGACCATACTGAGAGCATGCAGCTTTTGATTCTTTTAACTGTTTAAAAGGTACGGGAGCATGGACTCTTACTATATTACCCTGTCCATCAGGCTGCTCTATAATTGGAAAGCCATAAAACTCAGTTATACCTTCCCTGTTCTGCCTAGCTTGTTCTTCCTCCAACTCTGCAGCCTCATCAGGATCTAAGTCATCCTCAAAGTTTTCTTCTAACAAGAAATTATTATCATCAGAAGGGATGTAAAGCTCTTCTGGAGGAGCCGATGATTTACTCTCTTTTTGTCTTGAAGCCTCCCATCTTTCTAACCTCTTTCTAACCCTGGAAGTTTCCAGTTCTCAGTCCTGTGCTGCATACAGACTATTTCTGATTAAATTCCATGCAAAAAAACATGAGGCTACTGCCTTGTCCCATTTTTACTCTCAAATTTTTCTCACTGCGCCCTTTTCTCTTTACTTTATGATCTGAGGGGCCAACACTGAAGTGTCCTTTACTGCTTCCTTGCATCTCGAGTCCCTGTTCAGGCGTCAAACTGCCAGGGCCCGCCGACAGAGCCGGACAGTTCTCGAGGGGGAGTGAGGATTGGAAGAAAATTAATAAAACAACACACTGCACGTGGGATCTTTCCGAGAGGGCTTAGTAGCCTCCTGGTTTATTCCAGTAATCCCTTGTCAAGTCAGCGCAAAAGCACCTCAGTACAATGAATGAGCTCCCAGGGGAGTCACACTTGTTCGCCTCAACCGCCTGTCTGTGTGATCCTCACACGAACAGGAGGTGTGAAACATCCTGCCTATCCCCGACTCCAGGTGAGGGCTGGGGCGAACCTGTCTCCCGCTGAGAGCTCAGTAACTAAGCCGCCACCTGTATATCCTCTCTGAGTCCTCAGAACTGATCCAACCAGCTGGCAAAGACGCCTGTCTCCCAGCTGTGCCAGGCAGCACCAGCTGTGGACCAGCTAAACCAACTCCCCCTCCCCCCCCCCCGGGACTGAAATGAAAATCTGTTCACACAGCATAACTAAGCTTTTAAAGGAGCCGAAGCTTCCACTACACATTTTAATTTTGAAGAACTGCGGAAATTCACTTAAAATATGTAAGAAAGAAAGATCAAAGTAAGTGACGGAATTTGCTGCCACCTTGGCTTTTTATCTCCCGGCTGCGCCGAGGAGAAAGCGGTTGGTAGGCTCGGCGCGGCTGGGTGTCAGCACGCGCCTATGGCGTGCGCGGCCTTGACCCACCTCTAGCCCCGTGAGTGCACACGTGCTCTCCTGTGCGCAGGCTCCCTCGGCGTTTTACTCTGTTCGCTGTTGTGTTTCTTTGCTTTTGGTTTTTGACACAGCGCCTTGCCGTGTAGCTCTGGCTGGGATGGTTCTCACTGTGTGATCAGGGTGGCCTGGTACTTGTGGTAATCCTCCTGCATCAACCTCTCAGCTGCCGGCATCACTCACACCACTGCACCCAGCCATGTGACGCGTCGGCGTACCTGACCGGTACTCTCACGGGCTGCCCGGAGGCTGGTCTCCTGGGTCAGCGTGGGTCCCCGAGCCGGCAGTTAACACAAGCCATCACTCATGGCAGCTGGGCAGGCTTACGAAGGCCAGCGTTCGCGTTCTCCTCCGCCCCAGTTAAGTGAGGGTTCAAAACTGGGCCTGAGCACCATTGGCGTCGTCCCTCACCGACGCCAGCCTGGAGCCATGTTTCCCCTTTTCCCCTGGAGGTCTCTGTCCACTCCCTCTTCGGGGCTCGGAGCCTCACAGTCCTTGGCAAACGCTGTGACACTGACCTAGCCCCTGGGCTCTTCTGTCTCTGTCTCGAGGAATTTGTCCCTTTCAAATTCTTGTTATTGCTATTTTTCTGTGTCCTCTGTCTTAGGGATTGCGTTCCCCAGAGTAGGGAGCCATGCTATCTCTACCTCTTTTGGAGATATGTGCGTTGGCCACCGGGAAAACATTGTCAACCACACGTGGTGTGTGTCCCGCCAAATCTGGTGTCCGGAATGGAGTGCTGTGGTGTTTGAGGCGTGTGAGGCTGCTTATGGTGAAGGGTGCGGGGCAGCACAGTGAGCAGGATGGAGAGACCGCGCCGCTCGGTGTCATGTTTAGGCACAGCCCTGGGACTGAGATCTCCATGCGCACGGGGAGGGAGGTACAGGAGACTCATCTAATGAGGACCAAGGAACTGTTTGAGGGAGCAGAGAAGGGAAAACACACTCAATAGACAACATCTGTGTGGATGAAAAGAGACCCGAAGGGAGCCAGGCCTGATGCCCACGCCTTTAACCCCGGCACTCGGGAGGCAGAGGCAGGTCTCTGTGAGTTCAAGTCCGGCCTGGTCTACAGAGTGAGTCCAGGACAGCCAGAGGTATGTTGGGAGACACGTTCTGGACGAGGCAGGGGCCATCAGCAGAGGCCATGGAGCTGATGAAGGGTGGGACGGGGGATCTGCAGAGACCTGAGGCCATTGTGCCAGGGTGCGGCACGTTGGCGTGGCGCGTGTGACGCGGGAAGGAGAGCTTCCCAGCGCTGACGTGTGGAGGCAGCGCAGCTTTGGATCCGCCGCAGAGGCGGCAGCGATTTCCTGCTGCTTCCGGGGTGCTGGGTGTGCAACAGGGTGGGGGAGGGCACACCACGCACGGATTTCCACTTCAAGTGACGAGATGAAACAGTCGGGGGACAGTCAGCGGACTCAGGTTGGAGGGTGGAGGCGGCAGACGGGGAAGAGGGAGGGGCAGGAGGCGCTGGAGAGAGCCCAGTGTGAGGCCACTCTGTGAGGACGGAGAGCTGGGCCTGTGGCGAGAGGGCCAGAGAGGCAGGCCCCTCCCTCCTGCAATGCCTCCCTGCGGGAGGACAGCCAGCGCTGTCGGAGCGGCTCGTTGCTCGCGCTTACACTTTGTGATGAATGTGCCGTGGATTTAGCGGGTTCTTAGGCGACTGCCTCAGAGGGCGGCTGCACTCTCAGCTGGCCCGGGCCCGGGCCAGCAACTGTCTTCTGTCTGTGAGAAAGACATTGTCCAGAGCAGTATCAGGTGGGGTGTGGCTGGGTGCCGGAGCCCTGTCTGACCATGCTAGACCCGGCTTCTCTCCTGAGCACGGCGAAACAGAGACAGACAGACACCCGCAAAGGAGAGCGGTGACACAGGATAATTCTTTATTACGGACATAGGGCAAGTTTACAGATACCCAGATCTGTCTCTAGTCCAGGCAAAATTAAATAACCCTGCACAGCAAGGGTGAAGCAAGACAGACAGGCTGCGTTTGGGCTGGAAATCCCTGAGAGAAATCCCTGAGTAGGAGAATCCTTCACCAATTCTCTGGGGAGCCCGTTAGGCACGGCGTGAGGCCGGACACTTAATACCCTCTGTACCGCGCCCAGGGAGGGCGAACCTGACAGAAGATTCCTGAGACTGCGAGGCCTCTCCTGCTGTGCTGGGACCATCCCAGCTGGGAGGGCAGGCTGCAGAGGCTGCGGAAAGGCCAGGGCTGGGCAAGAGCACCCGCTAACAGCCCGCATTCCCAGCGGAGCCCGCTGCACAGTGTTGTAAACGACGCCCCTGGCTTCGCTTGAGTGACTGTGTCCCTTTAATGGCACAGGCCACACGACCAGACACCTAGGAGCAGAGGCCAAGGTTCCTGAGGGTGCAGGGCAGCCCCGGAGTGCGCTGGGATCCAGGGATCCGCCCGGTGGCCACACTGATCTCAGCTGGCGGGAGGCTGCAGAGCGCAGAACTGTGAGATGGAGCCTGATATGCTAAAACTCTCTCTTGAAAAGAGGAAGGAGGGAAGGGAGGAAGGCAGGCAGGAAAGAGAGAGCCAAGGAGAAAGGGAAATGAACGCCTAGCCAGAGGGCAGCTGGAGGCCCCGGACTCCAGGAACTTCATTAGATCTCAATCTGGTGCAGACGAGGAAAGCCTGCCACTATTTTATTTTTTGAAGCTGAAGAGAGTTTTGTTAGATTTTAAAAGAAAAACACCAAAGCAGACAAACTGGAAATGTCAGCCTTGGCCTGGAGCAGAGGGGCATGGCCTTTGAGTCAGGCCCAAGGTCAGCTGGCAGCCTGCACAGGTGGGTGTGGAAAAGCCTCGGGGGAAAAAATGAGGAAGCCCAGAGTGTCAGAGAACAATTGCCCAGGCTCTGACCAGTGTCTGAAAAACAAAAAAAACAAAAAAACAAAAAACAAAAAACAAACCTATGAAAAGAGGGAAAGGCAGGCTTTTCTGACCCATTCAGAAAAGCAGGAGGCTTGGCCTGACCCTCGGTGGCGGGTCTGCAAGTGACTGCCTCGCTGTTTGCTCATTTATTTTGGTTTGGAACTCGTGGCTGGAGAGGCGGAGGGAGACAGGCGCTCAGGAGCTTCTTCACCTATGGCAGACGGATGAGCTCACTGGCGAGGCCAGCCAGCAGCTGCAACACCCGAGCAGTGGATTTTCTCAGAGAGGAAAACTCTGCACATCAGATGCAGCTTCTTTTAAGACAGTATCGCCGCTCTGCCAGGGCATCTTTTCAGATTCCCCCTTCAGGTTCCAGAAGACTGCCAGCCCCGCTTTCCGGGGCCCCTTCCTACTTGGGGTTAGAGACCTTGTCTTGCTCTTCCTCCCCTGGAGCTGTGGGCGCTGACAAGGGCCTTTCTTGCTGCTTTGAGTGGGTTTTCTGGGGAAAGGCTCAGAGCAGGGCGGGCTGGGTGCCACGGCGTGCTGGCTGCAGCTGCCCTTCCCGGGTGCGGGGCCTTCGCAGCCTTGACGTGGGCAAGTCCTTGCTTAGGTGACCTCCAAGGTCATGGAGCTTCAAGTAAGACTCTGCTACGCAGGACTTGGAATTGGGGGAGAGATGAATGTGCTCCAAGTCCAGGAAAGCGAAGGCGAAAGGCGGTGTTGACACCTCTCCTCGGCCAAGGAGAGTTGGGCCTCCTGCAGGCTCCAGGGTATCCCTCTTCTTCTGTTGACAGAGAGGCTGCAGCCCAAAGCTGCCACACTGTGTGTGTGTGTGTGTGTGTGTGTGTGTGTGTGTGTGTCCTCCTCCCCAGGGCACAACGATTTGCTTGTGGAGGAGAAATTCTGGGAACGCACCGTTGGTGCGGCCAGCAGACAGACTTTGCTCACTTCTTTTTTACTTCCGAATAAATGATTTCTGTGGCGCTTGGAGATGGAGAGGCTGACGTTGGTTCTTTCAGCCGCTGGGCACTGAAGTCCAGGGCAGAGTATGTGACGTCATCCGCCTGAAAGCAAGAGTGTTGTCAGTGACATCACTACACAAGGTTGTCAGGGCCTCACCTTGCCGCTGTGCTGTGGCCTCTGCCCACGCAAGGTGAGCGGTGGAGAGGGCTCCCGTCCCTGACAGCCTGAGGCCTGGCTGGCAGAGGAGACAGACTGCTGGGGACGCCTGGGCCAGGGCGAGAGCCAGCCGCCCACCGTGTGCGCGGCTAGGTCCCGCCTGACTGCACTGCTCTGCCAGGCGGGAGGACAGGTCACGATTGTGTCACTGTGGGTGGCTTCCGCCTGCCAGAGTTCAGACTGCGGAAGCGTCCTTACGGTTTAAAGTCTGTGGACTCTGGTGAAAGGCTGTGATGACACCGTTTTGGTAAGTGTTATAAAATGAAGGAGGAGGGTCTCAGAGCCGCTAGGCCGGACCCGTCCTCTGACGACGGAAGGAGAGTGGTGTGCCGCAGCCCGTGTGGGCAGTGCTGTGCCCATGTCCGCCCACTTAGTCCTTTAGTATGTTTTGGAGGAAGGAGGAATGCCCATCCCATCGGTAACCAGGCTGAGGGTCAGAGTTCAAGTTCCTTGTCAAGAGCCACAGAAGACGGGGAGTCGGCAGGGAGTGAACATGGGGTGAGGTTATTCAGACACGCCCTCCTGGGTGAGGCTCAGGGGCTCTTTTCACCAGGGCCCTGAGGAACAGACACCCACCCTGGATTTCGCAGTGGTGTCTCCCAGAAAGCCTCATTCTCAGCCTGGTGTGGAAGCACACGCTTGTCACGCCAGCACAGGAGCGGTGAAGGCCAGCCTCGGCTACATACTCAAGGTAGCCAACGCTCTCTCAACAGCCAGCCAACAACCCCCAAACGGTGCGGGGACCCGCTCCCTCCAGGGACATTCTTGAGCAGCGAAAGTGGCAGAGCTTACCTTCTTAGGAGAGCTGTCAGAGGGGCCCAGATCTAGGGGGCAAGAGACAGTCATCAGTGACTTTAGCAGGTGGAAGGGCCGGAGGTCGGGGCGGCTAGCTCCCCTCCGAGTCCAGTCCAGGCCCGCTGCCTTAGCGTCAGAGGAGCAGGACAGAGCCACCTGTTCCCCAGCCCACTCGATACCCACAGCCGATTCTTAGCAGCGTGGCCCAGGGGCAAGCAGGAACGCAGAGACCACACCAGCCAGATGGTCCACAGGACAGTCTCCCGAGGAGGACGCCCACAGCCAGTGTTGGTGGGAAGGAAGACACAGGACGGCCCTGGAAACCTGGCTTCAGGCTCGGCCTGGAGGGCAAGCCCTTCTCCAGGGCTCCCAGGCACCTGCTCTGTAGCTAGGAGGGGTGTGACTTCCGGGATCCTAGCTCTGGGAAGTGGGGATCCCGTCTGTGAAAACTCAGAAAGGATCCCCGCACAGAGCAGGCTGCGTGGCAGAACACGGGTTCTCATCCTGAGTGGTTTACTTACTGTGTCTGGAGGCTGAGGGTTTGTGCTCTGTGGGATCTCGCTGGTCACTTCCCCTAAATAAACATCAGACACTGTGACGGGTTCCCACGCACAGGGCCTTGCTCCCGGAGCTGGGGGGGGCTGTGGGCAGCTCGTGCCCGGGAGCTTGTGGTGCCAGCGGTGCCCGTCACGCCTCATTCCCTGGTCTAGTGTGACCCCTGCTCTTTTCACCCTTTGCTCTCCGTCCCGACCTCGAGTGGCCCCTGAAGCTGCAGAGGGCGGCCCCACCCAACACCTGGCCTGCTTGTCTCCCACGGGTGGTTCTGGCTTTCTCCTGCTCATCTTCTTGACCGGGAGGACCTAGTGCGGCTTCTTCATCTCGGGGCCTCACCTCAGCCTGCCCTGCCCCTCCTGCTGCAGCAGTGCATCCTCTGCCTGCTGAGCTCCTCAGTCTCCCTCTCCTTGGACCTTGGCTTTCTGACTAGAGGACAGAGGGAGTAACTGAACCCGCTCTCTGAGCAGGTGGGAATGGGCTCCAAGAAGCACAGGAGTTCGGGGAGCGTGAGAGTCGGGGGTCAGAGAAGCAGAGGCTAGGAATGGAGGAAGGGCGGCAGAGCAGAGAGAAGCCCTGCCCGCTCGCAAGCATGGCATGAGACCTGGAGGAGACAAGAGGGAAGGCCATCCTACCCGCCAGTCTTCCTGAAATACAGGAAATACGCCAGGGCTCCCACCAGAGCCACCCCGGCTGCAGCCCCCACCACGATGCCGGCGATGGCGCCCCCAGACAGGCCAGAACTTCCGCGTGTTGGGTCAACTGTCAGGGAGAGAAAAGACAGTGAGGAACGGAGTGAAAGTATTTTCCAGTGTGTCCTGGGGACTGTCAGCTCGGAGCATCCCTGTTTGCCCTTTGGGGAGCGCTTCCTGGGGGAAGTTCGAGGGATGCGCTGAAGCAGGAGGCTCAGCAGGTCTCTCCCTCACTGTGTCCTAAGTTCTTCTCCCTCTTCCTTCCAGTCCCCAGTTTCGTCCTGGCAGTCATGTGGGGCTGTGGGACAGGGTGACTGCTGTTGTGTGTGCTGACTCGTCCAGGGTCCTCACGGCTACGTCTGTTTTCGGGGTCTCAGCTGTGGCAGCCGTGAGTAAGTGTCTCTGCGTCCATGATCTAGCTGACAGAAGGCCCAGGCTAGCTCGGCGCACCAGCTCCTCTGCGCAGAGGCTCTGCTCTCTGCTGGGGGTAGGAAAGCAGAGCAGACTCTGCAAGGCCCCGAAGGCCCCAGCCCCTCTGCCGGGCGACCGGGCGACCGTGACTCAGCCTCGCAGAAACTCTGCTGTTCGGAACTGTGCCGCAGCAGAGGACAGTCCTCCTTCTCTGCTCCTATGGAATCTGAGTGCATGTGGCCGAGGCTGGCCCAGGCTAACCCTCACGGTCTAAGGCTATCACAGCCATGTCCTGGAGGTGAAAACTAGTAACCTCCCAGGCTTGAAATTTTTCGCCAGACCCGCCCCTTTCTGTCTCGTTTCCAGTCAGCAGCCGCGTGCTTTCAGGGTTTGGATAACGTCTTTGCTCCTCTCCTCCCTCTTTACTCTGTTGTATTTAACCATTTGAGGCTCAGCGCTTGTCAGCCTTCTCAAGAGCGATTAATCGTTACAGTATTTATCACAGTAAATAGAGTGTGACATGGTATGACGTGGTCGGCCTGTATTTATTCATTTATAAGATGAATTTGACACACTGCAATTACTTCCATTTAAAGGATGAAAAAACGGAGGCTTAGAATGATCTTTTTAAAGAAGGACGTTAAAATCTGGGTGGTTGCTCAGGTCAACCTGCTGGTCTACCAGCCAGACCTCAAGGCTGCCACTGTGGTAGGGAGGACTACAGCTTCCTGTGCTTCCTGTGCGTGCACTTGCTGTACTTCCTGTGTGTGCACTTCCTGTGCGTGCATTTCCTGTGTGTGCCAAACTGTTACTTGGTCATTACATTAGGTCTCTAAAAGCTACTACGAGGCAGGTGAAGGGTGTGATGCAGCCTAAGTCTTAGCGGTCAGAGGCTGGGGACGGGGACTGTGAGTCTGACAGGAGCCTGGGCTATACAATGAGATCCTTGCCTCAAAAAGAGCTGATTCAGCTGGTGCCAGGAGGGAAGTGAAGGTTAGAACGAAGGTAAACAACACAGAGGTAGAGTAACAGGATACAAAGCTGATGTACCAAAAGCTGTTTTTGCAAAAATGATTAACAACCTTTTCCCAGATGAACTTAAAAAAAGGTGGATATCACTGAAACGTGAGACCTTTCCGTCCCTTCTTCAGAACGCCAGGAATAAGAAGAGTTCTCCATAGTTACAGGCCACCTGTTGGTGGCCTGGTGGCCACCGGTTCCCAGAAACCAGGGCTCTACAGAGAGGGAAGCATGAAGAAACATGAAGCTGAATAGATGCATCACCGATACGACTAAATCAACAGAACTTCCCAAAGTTTCACAGCCTTTAACTATAAAAAAAACTCTATGAGAAAGTCTAGCTCCGTGTAAACGCCACACGTGGATGCTCACACACACACCAGCGTCCCTCTCACTGGCGGCTTTTCCTCTACGGTCAGGAGGAACACAGGACGCTGTGTGACCGCTCTTCTCTAGAGACCCTTGGGAGTCCTGCACGGAGCCGTTCGGCTAGCAGTGAAGCCGCAGGTGCTTGACTGTGAGGTGGCGAAGCCTGCAGAGGCTGCAGACTTGCTCAGGGAACATCCTTAGCATCGCACAGACGGTTCTTAGAACCAAAGAGCAACCGGCACAGTCGTGGCTAACAAAATGAGCATGCCCGAATGAACTGCCCCAGTACTGCCCATGAACAGTCAGGTCCCCCTTTTCCTGGCAGTACTGGACGCTGAACCTAGGGCCTCATTCCACTGAGTGATAGTCCCAGCCCAAACGGCGAACAATCTGATGGGAGGTTAGGAAAGTATCTTAATTTATGAGAGCATCAAAAAGAGTGAAATACTTAATCAACTCCACTAAAAAGATAAAAGGCTTGCGCCAGAAAACTTTCAAGTATTTCTCTAAGAGATGATGAAAGCGGACAAGAAGTGAAAGACATCGGAGCTGGCGGGCTGGAAGACTTCTCCTAACTTCTGTTGTTTTGCAGTACAGGGGATTGAACCTAGAGCCTTGTGCACGGCCTTGAACTAGCTCTGTTAGGTAATCTTAGCTTCTTGAGTAGCTGGAATTCAGGCACGAGCCTGGAATTGCCTGAAAGGTCTGTTTTGTTTTGTTTTTTTAATAGATGACAATATTACTGAAAGTAGGTAGTCTATCAATTCTATGCACATCAGATTAAAACCCCAGGGGCATTTTATATAGAAATAGAAATAGCTGTCCCCAAACTCACTCTATAGACCAGGCTGGCCTCAAACTCTCAGAGCTCTGCCTGTCTCTCCTTCCTGAGAGCTGGGATGACGGGTGAGCACCACAACCAGCCTTAAAAGGGTCTTGAAACAGAGGAACAGAATCGCAGGACATCCTTCACGATTTCATAATTTTAGCACAAATCTGCAATAATCTAAACAGTCTGATGTAAAGGCAGATGTGTAGATCAGCGAAATAGAATGGACAGCCCAGGCCTGCTCATGTCCACTGGCCAATGCCTGAAGTTAGTTGGCTCATGGTAAATGTGTGTGTGCGTGTGTGTGTGTGTGTGCGCGTGTGTGTGTGTGTGTGCGTGTGTGTGTGTGTGTGTGTGTGTGTGCGCGCCCGTGTGTGTCAGACTGGACAGGCTGGCATAGCCAACACTTCGTTTGTATTTTGTATGTTTGTTACAACATTCATCTCTGCTGGCTCTTTTGAAAGATAGAATTAATTGGTGTAAAACCATTGTCCTATCGGGTTTCAGAGCTTGGAGTCATTTGCTGTCCAGCTGCACCTGTGACATGAGTTTTGATCAGGCTGGTAAGGTTGTTAAATGACTAAGGAGAGTCTTTTAAACAGCAGATGCTGGGGAACAGGGTACCCGGGCAACAGAACAAGGTTAAGTCATCACGGAACCGCATATACAAATCAGCTCTAAGTGAATCCGCCGCAAACTGTAAGACTTTAGAAAGCAGCAGGGAACCTCTCGGGAATTGGATTTGGCATGGTTCCTTTGTCATGACGTCAGATATATAGGCAACAACAAAGCAGATAACTTGGACTTCAGCAAGACTGAAAATGTCTGTGTGTCAGAGGGTCATCGGCCAACAGCGCAGCGGGCCTCCACGGCGTCTTTCTCCGTGATCAAGGCGTGGACCCTAGGGCCCATCACTGGATGACATAAGGAAAATGTGACGTATCTCACATGGTGTGGGGTTAGACCTTAAAGGGAGGCAGTTGTGTCAGTGTGATCATGCGGAAGAGCCTGGCGGGTGTGCGCTGAGTGAGGGAAGCACAGAAAGACGCTCATTCTGAGACTCTCAGAAGCCTGAGGAGGCAGGGAGCAGGCTGAAGGTGTGCCAGAGGCTGAGCGACAGCTGTGAGTCGCCAAGCACAGCCAAGCACAGCCAAGCACAGAGCAGAGGCTGAGGTCGGCAGGGAAAGGCGTGGCAGGGCGTTAGAGCCTGCCGTGGTGGACTGCAAAGAAACAAGATACATTTCAAGTGTCTTAGCATGAAAATGATAAGGAAAATAGCAGATGTGGTAATTAGCTCGGGTTAATCATTTCACATTGTATCTAGAGAATATTTCTCCTGAATGTATTCAACTATTCTATCAATTTAAAAGCCATTGGTAACAATGAACAAAGGAATTTACCAGGAAAGTGAAAAGTCCACTTCCAGAATGGCAGAAAATTCTTGTGAATAAAACATCTGACAAGAGGTTAATGTTCAAAATGAATAAAGAAACTCCTAACACATTGGCAAAAAACAGCCAACCAACCAACCAACCAAAACAAAAAACACCAACCCATCTGAAAAACAAGGAAAAGACTTGAATAGTTAAAAAAAAAAAAGGATTTAATGTCCAATTAAAGACCATTTCTCAACCATTAACAAAAGGGAAATCAAAATCACAACAAAATACAGCCTGACCTCTCTCAGGAGAGATACTATTAAAGACAAAAACAGAAAACGAGTTTTGGACGCTGAAGAAATCGGAGCACTTGCGTGTGGCTGAATGGAAGGTGACAGGGAACCTGGGGCTCCTGGAAACAATTTAAGAATTGTATTGGGCTCAGTTCTGCAGCGGGCTTGGAGGGGCGGAGCAGGCGCATGGAAACTCTGGAAATGGACCTCGGGACCGGTCACATGGCAACACAGACAGGCCTTATGCCGGTGACAGACGTTTTAGAATTCCTAAAGTGGTAAATCTTAAGCAAACCCGTGTGTGCGTGTGTGTCTTGCTTGCTGTGTCTGTGCAGCACAGGCGTGCCTGGGGCCTGGGGCTGGGGCTGGGGTGGGCGGGGAGGGCGCCGAGCTCCTCGGAGCTGCTTGGGGGGGGGGGTGCTGTGGACTGAACCGCCTTTTCCTCGACAGCTGCAATTGCATATAAGTGTGCAAACAAGTTTGGGCTCAGCAGGTGACTTGCTTGTCACCAGGCCTGACTCACCTGAGTTCAGTCTCCAACCCCAGAGTCCTGGCTCTCACAGATTGCCCTCTGACCTCCCCACACGGGTGTGGAACACACACGCCAAATGAATGAATGCCGACGCGACACGAAACTCAGAGGGTGGAAAAGCCACTCACTTATCACCGCCAGCCGGACCGGGTTGCTCCTCCTGGTGCTGACCGGGTTGGAGGCCTCACACTGGTAGTCCCCGGCGTCCTCCCGCCACACCGGCTCGATGGCGAGGGTGCTGTTGTTCCCGGAGAGCGTCGTCCTGTCCGTGAGCCTCAGACTCTGGCCGTTGAAGAGCCAGCGGATGGAGACTTCGCTGCCGCTGAAGAGGCACGTCAGGAGCACAGAGTCCATTTCCTTAACTGTAGTGTTGGCGACCTCAACGGAGGGCCAAGTCACTGGCTCTGAGGACAGAGGAGGGACCGGCTGAGAGCCCTTCTTCCCCTCGGAGGTGCGGCCCGCTCCAGGTCGCAGAGAAAGTGGGTTCAGCTGTCAGGGCCCACCAGACCCCGTGACCGCTGACTCAGAACCTCCGTGTAGCTTCCGCACTAGGAACCCACCTCGCCCACGTGTCCAGAAACTCCCCCAGGGGCCGTTTTCCTGCTGGCTTTTGTGCACATCTGTGAGTGTGCACAGTCAGGGACCTCCGTGGTGAAACAGCTGTCTGTCTCCTTCCCACTTGTCACGGGAGTAGGACGCCCAGCTGACCTTACGGGGTGTTAGAGCCTAGACCCCAGAACGGGGGACCTCACTTCCCCATGGAAAGGGTTTCTATGGGGAGAGAGATGCTGTCTCCTCCGTGTGGCTACAGGCTAGATACCGCAGTGAGGAAGGCGCGCCATGGTGCTAACTAACCGCGCCTCCCCTCCAAGCCTCACTCCTGACTCTCAAGACGGTCTCACTGCAGAGTCCTGATAGCCTGGAGCTTATCATGTAGACCAGGCTGGCCTGAGATCATCTGCCTCAGCCCCCGGGCTCCAGGATCACGGCTGTGTTGGCACATGCCTAATGGGCCTCACCACAAATAGTTCTTGGTCCTTTTCTTGTCCATTCCCCTGCATGGAGCCTCAGCTTGAAGGTCGCTGTCCTGCAGGCCTGAGCTCGGCCGACCTCAGAGCCCACTAACCCAGCGCTCGCCTCCTCGAACTCCCGATCTCCACCCCAGAGACTCCGCTGTCTATCCCTGACACTTTTGAGCCGGGGTAGCTTTGGCTGGCCTGGAACTCAGACATCTCTACCCGCCTCTCTCTCCTTAGTGCTGGGATTGAAGGCGTGCCACCACACTTAGCAAAAGAACAGGGCTTCCGCTGACTGAGAACGGGTCCCAGGCCCCCCTTCCTGTCCCATAGCCTCAGCCACCCAGTGAGACGAGGGCAGAGCTGGGGCGGGGAGTTTTCTCCTCTCGTTTGGAGAAAAAGAATGTCAGCACGGTTCAATGCTCGCTCAGGGGTTCCCTCTCCGCTGGTGCTGGTGCTCAGAGGTGGAAAGCGGAGGTGACAGGAAGGTACCGACAGAAGGACCTCCTTGACCTTAGGTCTCTCCATCCCCTGGAGAGGACGGAGAGTGCCTCATGGCACCTGAGGCTTTTCAAGGCTGGGAGAACCCCTCAGTCCCCAGCTCCCCCCCCCCACACACAGCAGCTGGGAGCCATCGGAGAGGGTTAGATTGGCGGGCGATGGAGGAGGGTCGGGCTGGGCGCAGTCCCACAGGCACCGCTACACACTCATTTGTCCCAGCTTCCCAGGGGACCGAAAGACCCCCCAAGCCTGCGTAAGCCGCCTACCGAGGACTGTGACGTTCCTGACGGCGGTCCTGTTGAGGCCTGTGACGGCGTTGTGGGCCAGGCAGGCGTAGGTGCCACTGGCCTCGGTGGTGATGTTGGGGAGGAGGAGCTCCTGCGAGTGTGCCTGGAGCGTCCCGTTGACCAGCCAGGAGTACTGCGCGGGCGGGTTGGAGGCCGCGTGGCAGGAGAGGCTGAGGTTGGCCCCGGGAGGGAAGTGAGTGTCCGAGGGGGAGATGAGCGGGGCATCCGGACCATCTGGAGCACACAGAGCAGAGCCGCGTGTGACGTCAGCAGGAGGAAGGGGAGCTGGGGTCCTCGCCTGAGTCTGTGGAGCCTGCTCAAGGCGCTGGCCACCTCCAGCACGCGCTCACAACAGCCCCAGGGACCCTGAGCCCGAGGCGCTCTGCCTCGCGTCACCCCCGCCTCCCTAGCAGGAGGAGCTTCCTCAGCCTCGCTCAGCGCTGGGCCCGCCGCCCCGGTCTGTGGGTGTGTGGGTCTGTGCCAGGCGGCCAGCAGGGCCGGAGTGTTCTGGCTCGTATGTGGGCAGCCGTAGGCAGGACGGGACAGAGTTACTCACAGGTGATGTTGAGGAAGAGCGGGTGGCTTCGGCGGGTGCTCACCGGGTTCCGGGTCTCACACTCGTAGGACCCCATGTCGGCCCTCAGGACCGTGAGCAAAGTGAGGGTCCCGTTGTCAGAAAGCTGCAGCCTGTCGCCGTCTGAGAGGATTTCTCCGTTTCTCCTCCACAGGTAGGTGGTGTTCGGAGTCTCGGGTTCGCACGTCAATACCACGGGGCCCTCGCCCTCCGTGGGGCTGGAGTTGTTGCTGGTGACGGTGGGCGTGGGTAGCGGGGCTGCGCAGACGAGAGACGGCGCTGTGTGGCCGGGGCCTGGCAAGGGCCGCGTCAGGCAGCGCTGCCTTCCTTTCCCTGCCAACCAGCTTAAGAAACCAGGCAGCCGGCGAAGTTCGGGCAGACAGAGCAGGCGGGCGCCGGAGCGAGGCTCAGCGAGTTCGCTGAGCTGAGGGTGGTGTGGACACGGTCAAGACTGACTCAGTTCTACGACAGGGCACGTGGTGAAGGATCCTTGCCACGCCTGCAAACCAGCCCTATTCGAGCCCCGACCCCCGGGAGCCAGCGACCCCGGGAGCCAGCGTCTAGGACGATTTGCCTGCAGGAAACATTCCCAGGCCAGGACACCCTGGAGGCAGGGATCTGCTCCTCCAGGCCTCAGGGGACCACCAGAGCAGGGTCTCTCGTACCTCTCCACTGCGCTGGGCCTCGGAAGCAGGCGCGCAGGCGCCACCTCAGTCCTGGCTCTCTGACCGGCTGCCGGCCCGCTCTACCAGCAGGTCAAATTCCAACCCGGGGCAAGCTTCCCAGGGCTCCCGAGCTCAGGCCGGGCCAGAGGCCCTCCTGGGGCCCGAAGGACCGTCCCGAGGCCATGGTCAGAGTGAGCATCCTGGGGCGCCGGCAGGGTGTGGCGTCCGTGGACGGCCCTCACCGCCTTCAAGCGAGGCCACCGGCCTGCCGCTGCCCCACTCAGTGCCCACAGCGTGGGGAACCGCGCAGCCCCGCTCGCTGTGGGCACGGCCAGCTCCGCGCAGGAGCAGACACTTACGGAGCACCTGGAAGCTCACGGACGCCTGCTTCGTGGAGAAGTCGGCGAGGATGACGTTTATCAGGTAGGGCCCCGCGTCGCCCTGGCTGGCGTTCCGCAGCAGCAGGGACCCGTTGGTGAGCAGCGTCTCCCGGCCGGTGCTGGCCGCCCCGTCCACGGTCTGGTTGCTGGACAGGATGAGGTGCCCGATCTCCTTTTCCGGGGTCACGCGGTCTCTGTACCAGTAGATGACCTGGAGTGTCTCGGGCAGCTTGTGGGCCACGAGAAGAACGCTCTCGCCCTCCGCCACGAGGGGCGGCACGGCCTCGGCGGTGATTTGGGCAGAGGCGGGCGAGCTCCAGCAGGTCACCAGCGCGGCTGGAGGGAGGGACGGCGCCGTCACTACCGCGGCCCTTGGCAGAGCCCCTCGTCACCTCCCTCCCTCCCTCCGCACCCCGTCCTCCCCCGGGCGCTCACCCCCACGGCCCTCACCCCACTCTAAGGCCCTCGTTTCCCGCCTCCCTGCTCTGTCCCGAGCCCCTCCAGCCGCTCTGCTCCCCGCCGACCCGGCCTCCCGCCGCCTCGGGCCACCGCTCAGGCCCCCTCTCCCGGGAGACCCTCCCCACCCCCGGGACGGCGCCCACCCGCGAGCAGGAGCCCCGGCCAGCGGACCCGGCCTTCGCGGGGAGAGGCTGAGGCGCGCTCCATGGTGCCCCTCTCCGACAGCGGTGTGAGCGCACGGTGAGTGCGCGCGGTGGACGCTCCGCTTTTCTTTCCGGGGCCCAGCCTCCTCCCAGAGGAGGGACCCTGCGAGTCACACGGGCGGGCGGAGTCTCCGACACCTCTGTGCCCGCGCCCAGCCCTCCACTCCTTCCTTTCCGGCTCGGTGCTCCAGAACAACCCCGGGCCCGACCCTGCCGTGTCCACCCGGGCCCGACCCTGCCGTGTCCACCCGGGCCCGGCCCTGCCGTGTCCACCCCGGGGCCGGCCCTGCCGTGTCCTGGCCTGGGGTCTGTCATCACGGGGGCGGGTGTGAGGTTCGGAGCCCCTGCACTTCTAAGAGCCAAGAGTGACACAAAAGTCCAGTGGAGCCTGGCGCCCGGGTCCCCGCTGACCAGGGAAGGTGGGATTTACTCCCAGCCGGAAGTGGCAGTCACCTGTGGGGGTTGGGAGAGGCTGAGCGATGACCAGGTAGGACCCATCCGGGTCCCTGGGTGCCAGTCCAGTTGTCCTGGGTGTGCAGAGGAGGAGGTGACCGTGCCTCTGGAGGGGACTGTGTGCCGGGTCTCCCCATGGGGGACCAGGGACGGCCACCCCCTCCACCCTCCCCACCGTCCCCACCCTCGCCTCCCATGCTGGCTGGTTAGTCTGCCCTCACCCTCCATGGCCTTTCTGGGATGGTGGCCTTTCCCCGAGACGACAGACGACGTGAGGAGGGAAGGGACTGCAGAGCCGGGTCCCCAGGACACAGGAGGGATCCCCAGGAGGGCGCCCACGTCTGCCGGGCCGGGCGGTCCGGAGTGTCCCTGGTCCAGTGCCGCCCCCTGCTGTTCGCGAGGAGGCCTGCCGCCTGTGCCTGCCGCCCCGAGGGTGACCGCGCTGAGCCCTGATCCCAGGAAAGGCCCGGAGGACACTGGGAGAGCAGAGACCCACCCTGACCTGCAGGTCCAGGTGACTAACGCGCTGAGCCACCTTCCCTGCGGGCGGGTTAGTGCGTCCTGTTCAGGGCTCCCACAGCCTCGCCCTTTGCTCGCCTGCAAATTGTTTTATTCTCAATTTAAAATTTTAAAGCTAAGTCCATTCATTCACCAACAAAAGCACATTTTAGAATTATAGCATGAAATGAACAAACCCTGCAGGCTTCTCGGCGTTTGCTACTCCTCGTGTTAGTCTTTGAGATTCAGGTGCGTTAGGTCCCTAGTCCCAGGAATTCTACAAAATCACAGTTGTGACTCGTTAAACACGCTTCTGAGTGCCTTCACAGTCTACCATTTTTATAGCTGAGATTCGTGTTTAAAGGCCCCAAGTTGCCTACGGGAGCTACATGGTGCAGGGACCTTCAAAGAGGAAAAGTGTAACTTCCAGCCCACGCCTCTCGGAGCGTGGCAGCCCCGCGTGGACTCACCCTCTCACCCTGGCCGAGAGAGATGGGAGCTGGTTAGGGGCAGTGCATCTCGTTAAGCTCGCCCTTTCCTGCCCTCCTTCCCCGCATGTTCAATTAGGTAGGGGCGTGCCTACATGCTCGGCTACAGGAAGGAACAGGTGATCTCAGTTAGCGCGTCTGGGTCCCCCGCTTTCCCGTAGAGACAGGTACTGTTTCCTGTCGTGTGCTCTGCACGCGCCCGCTGATGGACACCTGGGTCCACTTTCCCGCCGCACCGAATGGAGCAGCGGTGGTCACGGGGACCCAGAAATCTCTGTGGTGGGGCACGTGTTGTCCTGGGATAGACCACACGGAGTAGCTGCGTCCCGCTCTGCATGGCTTCACATACTGACCGCATTCATTTTCCCGCCCACCTGGTGCGCTCGTTTTTAAACTATCTTATTTGGGGTATCTAGCCCCCCCAACCCTTCAACCCCTTTGAAGAGAAGGTTAGTGGGGAGGGTGGTGCAGACCCCTTTACTTCTCTCGCTGTTTAAGGTCGATGGGTTCTTTGGGGCTACGCCAGTCTCCATCCATGTGCTGTGAAGCGTCTCTCCTGGGCCTTTCCAAACCGCCACACTGTCGTTCTCTGGTTTCTCCAAACTGCCACACTTTTTTTCTGGGCTCCTATTTATAGTCCTCAGAGTCCTCACGCCCCTCTCTGTGCTGCACGAGGCAGATCGTTACCAGCTGGCAAAGACCAGCAGGAGGCACTTATCAGCTGTGGACAAACTGAAGCCCAAACTAAAACCCCACACTTGAGACTAAAACAAAAACATATTCACATGACATAACTGAGTTTTTAAAGAAGCCAAAGCTTCCATTACACATTCCCCTTTTTGTTTAAAAAAATGGCCCTTTCTCTAACATTACTAAACTGTATACAGTAAGAATGATTACGAGAACTATCAGGTAAGAATTACGTTCCCGATGTCCAGTCCATTTGTATTTGGCATCCTTGGAAAAAATATTCCACTATTTATCCTATCCTGGTGAGTTCAAAGTTCTGTACCTAAATCACTTTCTTATCATATCTTGTATCTATCATCCTAAAACATCTATCTAGACCTTAAGACATATTTTTAGATCTGAAACACACTCTGTGTAGCGAGGGCACCCAACCGTCAGCCACCCACCCATACATCCGACAGGCTTTACTGTGACGCAGGGATTTTTTTTTTCTTTTTTCTTTTTCTTTTTCTTTTCTTTTTTTTTTTTTGAATTTTATTTTTTTATCAGTTACATTTTATTAACTCTGTATCCCAGCCATGTCCCGATCCCTCATTCCCTCCCAGTCCCTCCCTCCCTCATCTCCACCGTGCCCCTTTCCAAGTCCACTAATAGGGGGGACCTCCTCCCCATTCATCTGATCCTGTTTTATCAGGTATCTTCAGGACTGGCTGCAAAGCTCTCCTCTGTGGCCTAACTGTGGCTCCTCCCTTGGGGGATGGGGAGGCCAAAGAGCCAGTCATTGAGTTCCTGTTAGAAATAGTCCTTGTTCCCCTCACTATGGGAAACCAATTGGTTACTGAGCTACCACAGGCTACATCTGAGCAGAGGCTCTGGGTTATATACATGGTCCTTGGTTGAATGCCAGTCTCAGAAAAGACCCTGTGCCCAGAAATATTTGGTCCTTGTGGAGCTCCTATCCTTTCCTCATCAGACTAACTCCCCTTCTTTCTTATGATTCCCTGTACTCTGCCAAAGGTTTGGACATGAGTCTTTGCTTTGAAAACACTGCTAGTTAGAGTCTTTCAGATGAGCTCAGTAGACTCCTGTCATATGTTCAATGCGCATCCCATCTGTCTTTCTAAACGAGGATTGATCATCTTACCCCATGTCTGCTCTCTTGATTATCTTTTTTAGGTGTACAGATTTCATTACGTTTATCACATCTTATAGGTCTATATAAGTGAGTATATGCCGTGTTTGTCTTTCTCCTTCTGGGATATTTCACTCAGGATGATCTTTTCTAGATCCCACCATTTGCCTGCAAATTTCATGATTTCCTCCTTTTTGATTGCTAAGTAGTATTCCATTGTGTAAAAATATCACAATTTCTGTACCCATTCCTCCGTTGATGGACATCTGGGTTGTTTCCAGGTTCTGGCTATTACGAATAAAGCTGCTATAAACATGGTTGAGCAAATATCCCTTTTGTGTACTTGAGCAAACTTTGGGTATATACCTAGTAGTGGTATAGCTGGGTCTTGAGGAAGCACTATTTCTAATTGTCTTAGAAAGCGCCAGATAGATTTCCAGAGTGGTTGTACCAGTTTACATTTCCACCAGCAGTGGAGGAGGGTTCCCCTTTCTCCACAACCTCTCCAGCATGTGTTGTCCCTTGAGTTTTTCATCTTGGCCATTCTGATGGGTGTAAGGTGAAATCTCAGGGTCGTTTTTATTTGCATTTCCCTAATGGCTAATGAGGTTGAGCATTTCTTTAAGTGTTTCTCTGCCATTCGATATTCCTCTGTCGAGAATTCTCTGTTTAGCTCTGTACTCCATTTTTTAATTGGATTACTTGATTTTTTGCTGTTTAACTTCTTTAGTTCTTTATATATATTGGATATGAGTCCTCTGTCAGATAAAGGGTTGGTGATGATTCTTTCCCAATCTGTAGGCTGTCGTTTTGTTTTGATGACAGTGTCCTTTGCTTTACAGAAGCTTTTCAGTTTCATGAGGTCCCGTTTATTGATTGTTGCTCTTAGAGCCTGTGCTGTTGGTGTTCTGTTCAGGAAATTGTCTCCTGTGCCAATGAGTTCTAGGCTGTTCCCCACTTTTTCTTCTAACAGATTTAGAGTATCTGGTTTTATGTTGAGGTCTTTGATCCACTTGGACTTTAGTTTTGTGCAGGGTGATAAATATGGATCTATTTACATTTGACGCAGGGATTTTGAAGGGCTGGCCGCTCAGTCTCTGCAAAGGTGGACAGTTTCCCAGGGTCCTGCTTGTTCAGTTTGCTCACACAGCCTGCTTGCAGGAGTTGAAGGACGGTTTTCTTCTCCACAGTTCTTGCCGCATTTGTTTCTTTGATGCCATCATCTTCTGTGAAGTAGAATGGAGGTGCTTCCAGGAGCAGATGTCTCTCTGTCAGAAAAGCCTTTTATTATTAATGCATCTTTACTTGCTATATGTGTAGATCTCTGGAGTGTTTGAAGGCTACCTGTTTGTCTACCCTGATGTACTGCGCAATCATATCTATCTGCCCATCATATCTATCTGCCCATCATATTTATCTGCCCATCATATCTATCTGCCCATCATATCTATCTGCCCATCA